GGCACCTCGGACCGCTGGGGCGGCAGGGTCTGGCTCACCCCGAGTGCAGCGAGCGAGAGGTGGCAGGAACTCCACAGCCGTGTCAGGAGATTGTTCGTGGGCAGCTCACGGGCCATGGCTGGTTCCTGGGTCCCAGCTGTGCGGATAGGGAGGCCCCCTCATGGCCTGGAAGAGGGTGTTTGTTCCCGGGCCTCGGCGCGGCAGGCTCTGGCTCTGGGCTTCCARGAAGCAGGGAAAGCAAGCCGGTAAACTTCAGTCACCGGTGCCAGAGGGAAGAAGGAGAAAAACACGGGCAAAAAACAAGTTGCAGATGTATCTCTCCTCAGAGCGATCGCAGCAGGTGCCTCCTAATCCTACACTTAAGAGAGAGACAACCGCCCCTAGGTTTTTATAATTCTGCAGGCAGCTGTGATGGCCCTCTTGTCTATGAAACTAAAATGCATATTCACAGGTACTGGAATCTGATGGGATTGTTTATGATTTTAGACAATTATATTTTATTCCATGTTTAATATTTCTTTTTATGACCATGAAGGAGAAACCAGGTCCACACACTTCACTATATATATTAGTTAGTTTATGATAAAAATAGACTACTACAGAAAGGAAATACATTGTACCTTTTGTACCTTTTAAAATACTTCGTGCTTTCCATGCATGCTCTCCACCTCTCCACCTGGACCTGGACAAAATTGTGTTTCCCATTGTGTGGCATTAACAAAATGCTGTCTGAGACAGTGCTTGATCCACGGTACTTTCCTTGGAAAGTGGAAGGTTTGACTAATCAACTTTGTAAAACAATTTAAAACCCCAAAAAGGAAGTTCTATAAATAACATGTACAATGTATTAGCCAAACATTTGCATGTTTTCATCTGTGCTAAAACTAGAATCAGATCTTAAGAATAGCAAAATAATTTGACACTGGACAGACTGGACAGCCAATAAGGGCTTTTTAGTGTCTTTCAGAAGAGATAGTGTTTCTGTTTGATATGTAARTAGATAGGACAGCTGGAGTCTTATTATTTCAGTTCTCCTGTTAAATTATACTTCGTAATATGGAAGGAAATTTAATTGACCTGGATGCAAAATATGAATTGTTATTCTGACAAGTCCTATTTGAATAGAGATGCCAGAAATGTCCATGAAAGGTGTAAGTACTCCATACTTGTTTTGATGGGCTAGAATGGAATAAYAAAAATAAGTGTTCTTTCGACACCAACTCTGATTGCCTTGCAGTGAGCTGAAGAAAGGAATTTGGTATAAGAMTGTTGTAAAGAAGATATTTAGAGGTCCTAGAAATTGCCTGGTGGATGAAGGCAATATTCCCTGCTTTTGACAAGGCTGCTCTGATTGCCCAACAATATCTGTTGGATGTAGTTTAGGAGGGTTACATGTTGAGTGCCATGTCCAACACTTATTTATTTTTGTCCTGGTATTACCATGCTTAGAAACACCTACCTCAGTGATCACCATATCATAATTCTAGCCTCCAGGAGGTCAGCTTGATTCAACCTGTCCARCATCTCCAAAGGCTGAGGAAGAAGAAGCAATTTATTCAGAGCTCTTTTAAAATCTCCCCACTGTCCCTCACTGAGTGAACTTGCTCTTAAAAAGGCATCTCTAAATTGAGAATTTTTTCTTAATTATTAAGTAYAACTGTATTTTGAAAGCACTGGGGACTAAGAACTCATATTGATGTATTCCTTGATGATCTTAAAGGTCTTTTTCWACCTTGATCATCCTATGAATCTACAATAGAAAATAATTGTCACCCAGACAGATCAACTAAATCTGAGGGGAATGGTTCTTTGGAAGCAGATAAACATTGACAAACACTGCTTACTATCAGAARCAGCCTGCTGGAGGTGGACTGAGCTATGGGTGTCAGGAACCTGCTCCAGTTGGTGTTTAAGAGGAACAGACCGGGTGTCCTGTAGTGTAGCCATCACACCTTTGTCCCCATCTGACTGACAGTGGTGGTTGCCTGCATGGCGATGTACATTCTGTACTTTATTTTGTGGGATTCAGTGCCAGGCTCTACAAATAGCTGCTCACATGGATGCCGGGGTTCCCAGTGTGAGGACACAGTTCTTTGGGAGAGAATGCCASTGGGAGGACAGCAATGCAGATGCTTTGCAACCATCCACCTCGTAAGAGCTGTACACTTTGTYCTCCTGTTCTGGCAGTACAATAGAGTGTCCACTGTTTGGATGTATGTAGGCTCTGTTGAGTGGTTGTTGGCTRCTTGGTCAGGATAATCCCTACCTGAAATGCTCATCCATGTCCATGTAGTRCTGGWTCTGATGATGTTCTTSTTGTGGACATACYACTGACTGCAGTAGCTGGGCCAGCMTTGTGTGACATCCTCAYARAAGAGTTCAGGTCATGAACAACGTGCTTGCAGATCCTTATTTCCAGGGAAATTATATAAAATCTCTTCATGCTTGGTGAGGTGCGAAGATTTCAAGTGGGTCACTTGTCTACCAGAAAACAGGCTATCATCTCCAGCCACAAGTAATAAAATGATAAACTATTTGATCAAAATGTTTTGAAGTGGAAGCAGCCACCACATCCTAGGACTCTAATGCGCATAATGCCCACACTTCACATTAATGAATGTCTAATACTTCAGGTATGTTTCAACATAACAGAGAGATCCGCTCAGGTTGGTTTGTTGGTTTTGTCTAAAAAAAACACTTTGCTCTTACCAGTTCAAGTAACTATCTTGAATTGTTTCAAAGACAATCCTTTAATTTTTAAATAATGCTATAAATATAATTGCTAGAAATGCACAGTTAAATTGAAATGTAAGTCTCCATATATTTATTTTTTGTATTTGTAAGCAAGAATTACCCTTGCATATTTTTTTATCTGGTGAATTTTCATTCAYCAGTATATGCTTTCATTACTAACGAAAATAAAAAGCAAAGAACTTACCATTAGACTAAAGAAATTCAATTGATCATATTTCATGAGAATCATATTCTCTTGCTAGAA